ATATACACATACTTACTTTTAATAATATTAAAATTAACAATTATAAGTAAACAATTAAAGAAAGAAAAAAAGAGAAAAATAATGAAGTATGAAAGGATAATTAAATAGAGAAAACTATAAGAGAAAAATTTAATATAAATATAATAAAAAGAAGTAAGAGAGAGAGAGAGAGGAAGAAAATAAAAAGATGTAGAAATAGATAAATAGATAAAGATAAAGAGAGAGCGAGAGATTTTTTACATTACTTCATTTTTCTTTCTCTCTCTCTTTGTCTTTTTCTCTGTCTCTCCTTAGTATACGAGTCTAATAATAATTTCTTGAAATAAACTGGATCGCGTGGGCGAGAAAGTTTTAGAGTCAAACGGACGAATATTTCTTTTTCCACTCCCCTTGTGTCTTTTCTCGAGCACGATTTTAAAGGGGAGTGTACGATAATTCGCTCTTTTGACCAATATGTTTTTTTTTTTTCTCTTGTCTTTTTATTTCTTTTCTTTTGCTTTTTTTCCTCCATATTATTTTCTTCTTTCTATTTTTTAATGGTGGGAAAGGTGGGAAGGGAAAAGGGGAAGAGAGAGAGAGAGAGAAAGAGAGAGAGAGAGAGAGAGAGAGAGTTTTGTCTTTATTTTTTAAAAAATGTATTTCTCGGAACTTTTCACACTTCGAATGTAACGCACGTACGCGTTTCGTATAACATAAATTTCCTAATATAAATCGTTTATATTTTTGATCCCGTTCGAAAATGTTTTGGCAGTTTTATTTGACTATACTTATTTTATGCGATAATAAGTTTTTCTTCTTACAAAATCCTAGGTTTATTTATACAAACGATCCCGTCCGTTAAGAGGACGAATGTTATACGAGCTATAGTAGAAGCTCGTTGTTTAATAAAATAATAGAAATAATCGTTTGCTTGGTAATACGTTCTTTTTTCAATCTATCTAATATTTTATATCCCCACACATTTTTTTTTATTTTTATTTATAATATGTAAAATACAATAAAGTAAAGCACTGAAATAAAAAGTGATTAATATATTTCTTATATATATATTATTAAAAAAATATAAATAATAATTATATTAATATATAATTAATTCACATATATATATTATCCCTGATACATAAATTAAATACATTTATTTAATTAAATCTAATATAATTATTTATATAGTATTTTTGATATATTTAAAAAAAAAAATTATAATATACATTTCTACACGTTCGTGCTTGATTGCATATCGTTATTCGTTAATTAGAGTTAAAGTCGGTTCGCATCGATGGAGATACGAGAAGCATTCCTTGGAGATTTACTTTGCGTGCAAGAACCCAAACGAAAATGTGTAGCACCCATCCTTGTGGCTGTTGGTGCTTGCAAACCAACGCTAGTAATTAAGTTAGTGCGGACAGTGCTATTACAATATATCGAACGATCGCGTGCACTCATCGGAAGAAATTACTAGGCGGCTCGGATGAAATTTCTAGGGAAATACTTAACTCTTAGTTACTTCCTATTGGTTAGTTTCTTTAAGGACGACGTTAATCAAACTCTCTCGCGAGTACTTTATGAAAAATATCAATTGAATTTCAAATTTTTGATTTCAATCAATATTACATATATTTTTGTATTCTAATATTATA